AATCAAACAATAGTTGTTTCGTGAATAAGAAAAACTGACAGTTATTTAAATACTATGTATTCTTTGTGTTACCTTTGTAGGGAGGGTTGAAATGGATGGAAAAGGAATGACTGGAAGGTTTACCTTTCAAGCCGTTTTTCTTTCCGCAGTCGTCCTGGGGTTTCTACTAACTCTGGAGATAAGTAGACCCTTGAGATGATGCCTTTTCTATTGCTGGTAGGCAAATGCAGAGCAGAGTACCTGTCTCTGAAACGCTGCAGGTTACAGCTGCCCTAGGAAGCATCAGTTTCTACACAGGGGTCAGCAGGCACCACGCCATGGGCAAGGGCTTTCTTGCCACATGCTTGGCTTTATGGAGTTCATCATAATGTGGCAATACATGGCACAGTAAATGTAATTTTGCTATCTTCTAAGTTTCTAGCTAGCTAAATTGTAGTTCAGTTCCTCACTGAAGGTATCTAATCTTGTAAGAGGTGGCAAACAACTGAAGGTTTTGTTTAAATTTCAGTAGATGCCAAGGGGAAACTTTCACCTGTTCTCCTAGCTACAGTCAGCATTGATTGAAATGAGAGAATGGATTTTATATGACTCATTGTACAGACATATTTTCAAATCGTCTGTATTTTTCTTCCACTTTACTTTAGATCCAGGTCTTATAAAGCTGTGTGCAAAGAAGTCACCCCCTTTTAATTAAAAGGTCTATCTAATCTTTTTTATTCACTAAGTATTTATCAAGTCTTTACCATTTCACTGATTTTGAGGATTGTGAAAAATTGTTATTTTCATTGATATCGCTCATTGAAATGACTACAGGGTTTTTTGGCATACCCAGTTTCTCCTGTTGTTAATCAAAATGTGTTGGGCTGTGGAAATCACCAAAAGGTACAGAAATGAACAACAAGAACATTTTGAGCTCTCTGCATTGTATATTCTTAAAGAGAAATTGGACCTATGTTTGGGCATCATAGGAAGGGATTTGATTAGTGCCAAAAAATGAATTTGAAATAGAAAAAAAATTAAGGATAGGTAGAAACATTGGTTGCCATACCAGTATGGTTGTGATGATGTGTGAAACATTACATTTTATGTATTAATTAGGAGGTGGAGGGAGGGAAGAAGCGGAAAAGAAGGATAAGATCATTAACCTTTCTTCCGTTTGGAAAACCCAGAAAATATGATAAAATGGGACTGCTGCAAAAAGCCTGGCTCCAGCTTCTTGATAACTGGTGCTTCATTGGTACTGCAAGGCTACTATTAAGTCCCCCAAAGCCTCCTCTCCTCCAGGCCACTTCCCTCAGCCTGTCATTTGCTTTCTTCTATCGGTAGAATTCATGTATTGCACTAATGCTAAAAAAGTCAAATCTTCATTTTCCTTTAGAATTAGTATTAAGGTACAAATATCTTAACAGCTTGGAGCCCACAGCTTTTAGCAACTGCAGGTCTGACTCTGAGATACCTTCATGGAGACTTAAAGAGCTAGAGTGAAAACTGACGGCCAAATGATAACTATCCAGCAATTCCTGTATAGCACCAATTTTCTTTCTTTCCTTGCTTGTCTGCATGGCATCATTCATTCTTTTTTGGGACTGCATGCTGATTCCTTTACAGTTTTTATTGGGTGATTGAAGAAAATATTAATTGATTTTGTACAACAGTAATGATAATGTATTAAATAATAATTAAATCTAGTAGCGAGACATAGTTGTTCTGTTCTTCCCCAGATGTGAAAAGCTCATCAGATCTCCACCCATTGACAGGAACCTGGGCAAAGCCACACCAGGAAAGGTGGCCATTGCTGTGCCAGGTTATAATTTGTATAACTTCCCTCACAACCACATGAAAAAGAAATGCCACCTTTATCTGCTGTTAGAGATAGTTCTTCAAAATAGTGGAAGATGCAGAAGGTTTCCAAGACCCACCTGGGTGGAGTACTCAGGAACTTAAAGCTGGTCCAGCTGTGAGGAGGAGGTTGGGCTAGAGACCTTCTGCAGTTCTCTCCAGCCTGAATTATAAAAAATAGCATGTTTGTGCATGTGTGTATTGCAGTTATGTATTTTTTAAATTGTATTTACCAACTACATTTGACTTGGAAAACATAAAAAATTCCATTACAGCATTGTCTGGGTGGCTTCTCTGATTTCATCACCTACTTTTTTCCTGTGCCTTCATGGGAGAATTTGACTGATGAGATCTACAAAATGCAGTAATACTTCCTGTTTTCTACATAGATTTTTTTAAAAAGAACTGTGTTGGAATTGGCCATATCTCGGTCTTGCTGTCAAAGCAGGAAATTTGGTCATTATGTAATAATATATATGAGAAAGTGCATGTGAGAGTGCCTTTTATAATTTCATTCTCATTCAAATAACTTTTCTCATTTTGCTTCAAGTTATCATTATGAACGAAAAAAATGAAACCACAACTGTTCTATAGACACATACATTTTGGTTTCTGTCGCGGCAAGTTGGTGGGCAGTAAACTATTCCTTGAAGAGTGCTTGGTCTGTTTCTTACATTTGTGAGACGTCTTCTAGGCGTTATGATTGTAATATTTTTAATGTACTAATGGTTACAGACTGAGGTTTGGGGTGATCTGTTTCACACTTATTCATGGTGTTATTCTTTTACTTCAAATAAAAAGTTATTGATGATCATTTTCTTCAGAAAATTTTTTAAGACAAAAATTATTTCCGATCATCGACTCTGCCTATTTTGCCAAGGAATTTAATGTAGTCTGTGCCATTGATGTCAGCAAGAATAGGATTAAGGAGCAGGCTTTAATTTACTTAGCTGTAACAGAAGAAGTAAGAAATAACTTTAGCAGTTAAATTACTTGTGGCAGAATTGTTTGTTTATGTCCCTAATATTCCTGTGGTATATTTTTGAATGACAGATCATTTAAGCTGACTTGCACATCTGAAAGATTAACATTTTACCAATATTCGGTTACCTAATTCCATATTCTTATTAGTGTAAGAGGCAGTTTAACTGAAAAATGAATGCTAATAAAATGCCTTTTTAGTAATTCATTTTGAAAACCATTTGACCTTAACTACAATGAAAGTAGACTGTAAAAATCATCATAGATTCCCTTCCTTGAACTTTTCACAATGCTGAAAAATGACTGAGGGAAAGAAGCAAGATCCAGTTACTGTACCCTGTTTGTACAGCTGTACTTCATTGAGTGGAGGCTTGTGTTACACACAGTTTGTGATAGGAAGTAAATGCTTTTAAAACAACTAAGGAGACAGGTCTTTAACCTCCACCTTTTCAGATGCTTTGTTCACTCATTTAGCTTCTGACGAGGTCTTGGGAAACATTTCAAAAACAAATTATTATTGAGTACTGAAGCGCACCTGAATAATTCATCTCCTAGTGAGCTCCTTAGGCAGAGATGCATTAAGATGTTGTTGGGGGTTGTTTTTTTTTTTTTTTTGAGAGAGATCACTAATTCTTGATATAGTGAACACTTGTTCCTTCAGGAACAAATGCCTTTAAAGAGGGAAGAATTCTGAGGTTGAGTGTTAATTGTTTTATGATAGTTGAAATGACAGTTTTAATTCAGCAAGTGCAAGGATTTTCAAGGACTTAGAGGACATTAAAAAATTATGTTGTCATGTAAATTACCAAACTGTCAAAATTCATTAGATTTAAAATTCTCAGTTTCTAGCATACAGGATTGTCACCTCCTGTTACAAGACTGTCTAGTCCCCTGAAATGGTGAAAACACCTTAAGATTCATTAAGAGGATGTTTTGGCATTGCAAGTACATGTTAATCACCAGACGTAAACTATTTGATGTAAGCTTGGCACCAGATAATTTCAGGACTTTAAATACACATTATAAGATAATTCTGTGAATGCGATTCTAGTATCTGCCAAAGACACTTCTCTAATTGCTCTGGTGAAACAAGTCAGTGGCAATGAGAGTGTGCAGCTGGTAGACATCCAGTTAACTTTAATTTCTGTAATCAGCTGAGGCTTTGTGTATACTTCGTCACTCGAAATGCATATGACCTTAAATTTGGGTTTATGATAAACAGGTATTATTTGGGATGCATTAACCACCCACTTTCTCATTTTGGTATAATTAAGGTCATCCTCATAGCTATACATCTGATGACCATGAACATTTCTATCTTAACGTCTCACTTAAGGCTGTCCAGATTTCAATATACACTGCAGAGGGTCCCACCCCCCAGGTCTGCAGTTAATGAGAAAATACCTGGAAATACAATCAGGATTTTAAGGTATTCTTCTTCACTACAGTGCATTAGAGGTGTCGTGCCTTCAGATGACACGGCTGACGCTGGTTATGCCCTTCTTCCAGCAACTCTTTTTGAACTGTAACACAATAGAGCCACTGCTCTCCTTTGTCTGGGTCCAGAGTTCCCAGCAAACGACCATTTGTTTTTCCATTTGTCACTAGTGGGCAGGCAATGGCTCTGTTTTGTGGTCTGTGGTACAAGTGGGCTTGAAGATTTACATGTTTCAGAAAACTGTAAGCGTAACACCAAACATCAGCCAAGTTGTTTAAATTTGAATCCTAAGATTTTTGGAACATTTTGTGTCCCCTTCTAGTCTTGAAATATAACTTCAGTAAGGGAATGTAGGCATGAAAGCATTCTCCGTCCTTGTGCTGTTGAACCCAATAACAGAGCTCTTACTGACTCATGGTATCAGGACTCAGCTCAGGCTTTCTGGCTGTTAAACTCTCGTCTCGCACATCCTTCTCTTCCAGCAGTGATTTTAGTTTCTGCGACAGCCTTGCCTTCCTCGGCATGAAAATTACACTGCCTTGTGTCCACTGACTGACATTTAACCCAGCCTACCCAAACTCAGCTCTGAGCATTAGGTTTTATTACCTGCTATACTATGGTAAAATAGCAAAGTGTAAGTGGGGGGATTAGTTGCTTTTAGCTTAAGAAAAAAAAGGCCTCGGGAAACAAATGTTGCTGTGTTCTCTAGTACATACCTCATTAGAAATTATGTGTTTTGCAGAGGTTAATATACTGTGGGCAGCGCACCAAGTACATCATAGTTCTGAAGATTACAACTTATTCACAGCCTTGAGACAATCTGTACTGCAGAAATACACCTCCTGGGTAAGTTGCACAAGGTTTGACAAACAAATTAATATCAGCAAGATTTAGTAAAAGTGAAAACATAGTGTTTATTTCCCTTCAAAGAAAAACATATAAATTGTTTAAGATGTTTGCCACCGAAAGCACAGAAGTTGAAACTGAAGAACCTGAGAATCATAAGCTTTAAAAATAAATTCATTAATGTTTTTACAGCAAACTTGAAAGTAGATACAGCAGTGAAGTTTAGGAATGCTAATAATAACTCTGCATTTATATTTTCATAACTTTTTGAGTAAAATGGGACATTTTTTTTCATTCGATTATTCATGCATAAGTACAGGAAGAGATCAGAGTATAACGTAACTACTCTAGAATATGTCTGTATAACTGAAAGGAGCAGGGAGAGAAATAATCACGGAAGATTGCTTTGGCCATGCAGACGTATTTATTTGTCTCTGCTTATTCATGTCATGTGCCAGTACTCCAGTAAGTAAGGGCTGTATGCCACTGCTTTTACCTAGTGTTAGTTCAGATATAATTTATTTTAAATGGGGAGCTCTGTACACATGCAATATAAATTAAAAGGAGTACTCATTTGCAGATTTTTAGAATGTATATTTCCAAATACATTCATAAATGTAGCATACTAGTCGGTGTTTAGTTTTGGGCCCAGGTTAACTGCTGATTTCCTCAGTTGTGCTCTCATGTTCTCTTTCGACTCTATTTTTTAACTCAGGTTGTAGTTTCTTTCTTTTTTTTTTTTTTTTTTTTAAACAAGGAATAACAACTTCAAAATTTGAATTTTCAGAATTAGAGTTCAAAAGCAATATGCAATGTATTTTCATATGTATAAAATATATAGATGCTTTTCTCCAATGAGGTATTATACTGGTGGTGGAGAAAACCGACAGTCCTCTAGTCTATGAGCAAACGACTCAAAGCCAAGCGTGTATGCTCACAAATATAAATCAGTGTAACTCCATTAAATTCAGTAAAGTTAGTCTGGATTTATGCTGATATAACTGAGCACGGATTTAGCCTGTTGTTCATAACTGTTTCGAGCCCATGACATTAGATGAGTGCTACGTTCTAAAAAAATGACTACTTGTTCTGGAAACTGTGAAACAGATACTATTCCTTTTGTTTCTTAAAGTCTTCCCTGTAAATTCTTGTTACTTTCTTAATTCATAAAGTAGTCATCTGATGTTAGTAGGAGTGTCTCAAATTTAAATGACCACAATGAACAATAGCGGAAGTGATGCATCTCTGTCACAACTCTGCTTCCTATGTAAATACTGCCATGTTAAAGATTTAACCTTTGCACATTTACCCTTTGGGACCATATGTGCAAATGCTTAACAAAAACAATAATTCAAAAAAGACAAAAAGCCTGTGTGTACACATGGGTGTGTGCATGAGCACTTTTTCTCCCTGCGTAGTTTTGAGGATGGTACCTCAGAGAGTATAAAATATTCAGGAAGGCCAAGATGTCCAGCCGGCTTAGATCCTGAAGACCATCCTCAGGACCACACTGCTATCACTTGGCAAAAAATATATGTACATTTTAAATTAATTTGCTTCGACCAAAGGGAAGAGAACATAGGAATCCATAATACTTTTGTGTGCAGTTTTTTTTCCACCAAATATTTGGTATTAGCCAAGACATTTGACAAATATAAATATTGGTTTACACCCCGCCCCCCCCGGACTTTTGAGAGGTGTGCCAGTTTTCTTTCTCCAAAGCCTTACTGTGCATGAACACAATTCTTGTTAATTCTTATAGCACTGCTATTTTTTTGGACTGCCAGACTTGTCCAGAACCCCATGGATGCATCTGCCTTGAAACTGAAACTCAGTGAAGCCTTTAGTTAATCTCTGAGAGTGATCTGATGTTGCTGAATGTGTACTGTTGAATGCAGTTTGACATCCAGTTTTGTGGAGGCTGTGGGAAAGTTGTGGTGGATGATATGGGATTGTGGGACTGTTCTGCTGCCAGCTTGTATGTGTTTTAAGTTAAACATTATAAGATAAATAAATCAGCATATTAATCTGTGTGGGTTGTGCTCAAACTGATTGAAAAGATGTGAAATGAAAGAGAAGAGAAAAACATGCTTGAAGTACGATCAGTGGTATGAGATGTACTCCTGAACTTGGAACCAAATGTGTATTGCTTCATGTTGTTTCCACACACAGCGTTTCTGTTACTCCAGTGGAGGGGCCATAGCGAAGCAGACCTACTATTAAGACTGAGGGATCATTTTGAAGCCCACTTTGTGGGAAAAAAAGGTGTGGAAAAAATGTATATTCATTTTTAAGAAGAAATTAGCAGCTAATGCTATACAAATTTTTGCTTCTGATGAAACAGTTAAAGTATAATTGTGAAAGGAGACAGTTGCATGTACACCTTGAAAAGCCAGGATTTAATTCTTTGAGTACTAGTTCTCAAATTTCCTCCAAGGGTAAGATTTAATTGCAAATATTAGATCCATAATAATCTGATAGCTTTAGACTATACATTTAGATAAAGGATTGAATTATACCTTGTTGGTTTAAAAGCAGTGGAAACGGCTTTATATAAATCTAGAAAGGGAATAGGTAACACTGTTCTTTTTGGCACAGAGACACAAAGTTCACTTCTTATCTAATGAGGAGTGTGACAGGTCTGGGATCTGTAAGGGATGGTTTGGGTTTTGGTTTTTTTTTTTAATCCTTACCTTTAACTCCTGCAGAACTGTCACAGAAGTATAGCCCACATGAAGTAGCCCTTGCGGCCCTGCTGTGTCCCGCAGCCCCTCCGTGGCTGCATCAGCAGGTGGTCCCCGAGCCCCAGTGTGGACACGGAGGGGCCCAGCACCGGAAACTCAGCCCTGCTGCTGCTCCTCAGGAGCTTAATTTTTTTTCCCCTTTATGTCGTGGAAGTGTTTATAAGCTTTTCCTCACACAGGAGAGGGAGAATGGTAGACCATGCCCATGTCAGAGAGCGTGTAGCGGACCCACACCTTTCAAAAGAAGCAATGTGTGAAGGCACACAGCCGCAGTGCGGCACCCCCAGGTAGGAATCCCTCTCCACCCCCTCGCTGAGTGCCTTCCCCATCAGGTTATCAGTTATTGTGGATCACGCTCCATCTCTGTTGCTGAACCCGCAAGTGGGAAAAGATCTGTGAGTGTGATAAATGTTTTTCAACAGTTTTGACCAGAAATTACATCTTGGAGTCAGGAAAGCTTTTCCTCCACAGATTAGTGAAAGCTGGTACGTTCCCATGAAATGTGTTGATTTGGTGAATTGGCATTTCCAGTGAAAAACTATTTAAAGATTTTTATTATTTTTTTTCTGACATTGATCTTATTTTTCCAGTGGAACCACAAATAGGAGAAACCAAATCTTTTGTATGGGAGAGGTTTTAATTCCTCCCTATGGGTTCTACTTTTGTAAATGATCTTTGGAATCCTTTCTGTGCAAAATAAAGCTTACATTGCAAGGAAACATGAGGCAGTTAGGAAAGCATTCTCCTTTGTCAATCTCAAATTTACCTGTAGATTTATATAAAATTTCCCTCGTTTTACCACTTAGTGGGGAAATCCTAGTACTCGTTGTGAGAAGTAGGTTAGAAAATAAATATGAAGATGATCCTTCCTTCCTCTCTGAGTCATCTGTAAATACCACCAAATTGCCTCTGATGCTTTTAGGGAAAAAGCATATCATTTTTAACCCTGCTTTCAATCCTGCAACCACTTCCACGAATAATCTGAAAACCAGCTGGTTTTGTGTTTTTTGTTTCTTTTTTTTTTTTTAAATCAACTTCCTCTCCATTCCTTTTAAAAAATTTCCTGCTCTTATCATGCCATTAGACAGGTACTATCAATAATGAGCGAAAACTACAGTAGCTTTACTTAAATGTGTCCGTGTGTTTTACTCCGTTGTTGGCTTCTTTTTAAGATAACCTTTGAGAAAAACCATGCCAGCCTTCTCGCTGTTGTGGGACAAATATCTCTCAGTCTCTTTTTTATTTGTAGCTCTCCCACTTTTAATAATTCAATACTAAGGGGGTCCAGGTTAGAGGAAGAAGGAAAAAGGAACTCAGAAAAGAGATTGACTCCATACCAATGTTTAGGGCATTTCTTCTAAAGTATGGGAAGCTTACACTGCATTTCTGGTTCAGAGCCTGGAGAATTGTGGGTTTGAAAGTCGCCCTTCTGTTTAGCAGTTTTCTGCACGAGGCAGTCTGATCTGCATTTTTGATTCTTAAAGATGGTTCATGCCCACCTCTACTCCAGAATTTCATGCCTAAATGCCACTTCACCCCAATGGCATTTACTAGCTCCTACCTTAGGTAAGAGTTGCTGTGATTTTTTGTGAGTCTACCTAGACTGAGTGATTCTTTGGGATTGAACGTGCAAATCTCACCTTCCAGATATATTTTTCTTTCTTTGTTGTTTTATAAATATTTTCAAACACTTAAGCCTTTGAGGATCACACTGATTAAAACAAAATAGCTGTTTACTTTATTTGCCCAAGTTCCAGAAGTTCAGCATAATCCTTCTACCACCTTTGAATTCATTTACGTCTTGGAAAAGAGCTTCCAAGCAGCTGTGATCCATGAAGCCTTTGACTGTAGTTTTTGAAATCACAGCTGTCCCAGCCCTATCAGGTGATGCTGAAGCTGCAGTGACTTAAGGATTTCTTTCTGGTGCTTCAGTTGTTTTTGGTGTTGAAGCCAGCAGACTGAGCTGGGATTGCAGGGCCTTAGTCCTCCATTGGCTTGTGAGGGCTGCGGTGACTTTCTGGAGAGCATCAGTCACACCACGTGGAAGGAGGTGCAGTTGTTTCATACTTCTAGTGTGACATCTTACTTATTGGGTAGGCCCTTTGACAAAAACTGTGGGAATATCGACATTAAGTGCTATATGAAGACCTACACTAAAGGAATTCCTGGCTCAGGAGGCGTGTCAAGGCTATCAGGTTGCTTTCTCTGATGTTCAAAGATTTGATTTTTGTGAGAAGGACAACAGGAAGTTGGAAAAAAAGTTTGCTAATTTTGCTCTGTGTTTCACAGGGAGATCTTATCTGCTACCCAGATTTTCACTGAGTGCTAAAGAGATTTAAAGTTTTGAAGATACCTCTGCTACTGATTGGTTTAGAAAAGATCTCTGTATTTTAGGGAAGGATTAACTTAATGCAGCTGGTATAACACAATATGTAGAAGGGGAAAAAAAACCAAACAAACAAACCGATAAACCTTTTTCTGAAGAAAGCAGACGGACTTTTAACATGTGAAGGTCTTGGAAGTCTTATTCTATTCCTTAGCCAGTTAAGCAATTAATTGTGAAATTCCTGGGACTTTATTCTATATGTAAGATACCAGTATCTTTCCTAAATAAACAGTTTTCTGGAACTGTTCTCATGCTAGCACATCTTTAGAACTCAGCAATATATCAGAGCTTCAAGGGAGATGATGTGAGGAAGTTAGAGGGTGAGAATTTATAATTAACTTTGAAAGCCAAGTAAGCTGCCTTGCCCTTATAGTGGTCACGTAGGCAGTTCAGGTGGAAAAGCTATAGTGTTATAAATTCACACCTTGCTTACTCTGTGATAATTCTCCCCTATAGGTGAACCCTTAATGTCAAGGATATGCTGCTGTCTGCTCCATATAGTACACAGAATAAAAATCTAACCTCAGGATTTCTGAGTTCTTTTCATGATCTTTCTACTTGCTTAGTCTGACTTTTGAGAAGTCACTTTTACACCAATTTTTGTCTCATATGCTGTAGCACATCTGGTAGTAACATAATAATCAGTGTCCTATGTAATGTCTACATTATGGAGGTATTAGAAAAAGCAATTATCTTCCACAGTGCTTTGAGCTCCTGAGATAGTACTTCATTATATCATCACAAGTTTAGAATTATATATCTAATGTGTATTTTCTTTCTCATTTTTCAGATTTTCAACTTGCCCATGGCTCTTTTCATTCCTCCTTCAGTGTTTGCTGTTCACCTACAGTTTAATCTACTTTACCAGTTTTGGATACATACAGAGGTAAACCAGATTTCTAAGCCATACCTAAACAGTTAGCCTGGAGCAGCGTCCTGGAAATCCACTAGCAGCTGATTTATTGTGTAAGAAAAATCTTTGTCTGACTTTTTTAAGGAGAAACATCTGTTCATTTTTATTCCTTTTTCTGAATATATATTGCTAAGTTTATAAGAAGCAATGAGGCCAGTTGGTCCCAATTAGATTTTTTAAAAAAAAGTAACTGTAAGGAATCAAAACTTTTTGCTGTTGAATACTATATTTTCCTATCTTGCAGCTTATTAAACATTTCTGGCAGATACTGAAACTGATTTCATTTCTAAGATAAATATTTTAGGGAAAAATATCCAAAGCCCAGTGGTTCTTAAAGGCCGCTTAGAGTTGCAACTGAAGTCAGATATTGCTTCCTTCTTAGTGCAAGCAATTCTCAGATGAAAAATACCCTTTGATTATCTGATGGCTATTGGTTTATGACTGCACCTATTTATTTGTGTTTTGTGAGTGGGTAGACTATATCTACTTTACGTACATACACAGTTAATAACCCACTGTAATGAATAAGTACTTTCTCACACTTCTCAGATCGTTCAACAACCTTCTGCCTTCTCCCTCACACTACAGTAGAGGTGTTTAAAGGTAACCCATGTTACACGTCAGTAGCATATTTCTCAGTAGCCCCTAGTGGGCTGTGGACTAATTATCTCTACAACACTTACTCCTTTGATTGTACTAACTATACAGATGCCTTTTTCCCTCCTTAGTTTATTATGCAATCTATAGTACAATTCATTTGGAAGGCCACTTTTCTTTCTTTATCTGCTATTTTAGGTGATTCTGTTGCATAAATTACAGTTTTTATTTTCTCTTTTCTGTGTGTTTCCTTAGGAAACAAAAAAAAAAGGAATAAGGCTACTTACAGTGACTCAATAGCAAACTTCCGTTGTTGAAATTTCACTTCTGTTGGGCACATTTCTAAAATCACTAATATAAGTCTGATGCTCTGTGACACCATGTGAATAGGAAAGGCTTACAATAAAATGTCACACACATCACCATAACTGGCATAAACTCAAGCAGTATACAATTAATCTTGTCAAAATGTTTTGAAAAAATTTGAACACTCTGAAGTTAAACCAAGTGAATACTGTGGATCACATGGTAGCAAAGTTTCTTAGACCATGCCTTAGGTTCCCCAAATGGTGTTACTGTGTTTTTCCACTAAGAAAGAAGATAATATGCCTCATTTACACCTTCTCTGCTGTTTGAAGCCATCGCTTCCTTGGCTGAGAGGTTTTGAACGTTCTACTGTGTAGTGGTAACTCAGTGAATCTCAGCACTGGTGCCACAGTGTGCGTCTAAAGTTTCTAAAGTGAATTGCAGAGGCTTATGAATCACCTACATCCCTCTAAAGCGCTAAATCCTTCGTAGGGCTTAAAAGGAATTTCCATAGCATACGTGCAATGTGCCAAGTTCAGACATTAGTCTAAACAAGAATGAATTTCTGTCTCAAAAGATAAGCACTCCTTACTATTAAATGATTGTGCCAGTAGAAAAACAGTGGATCTTTTGTACTGATCCAGTTGATCCAATCATAGATCTCTGTTTACAAGGGAAGCTATTCTTAATGTTGATAATGTTGATTTTGTAGCACAGCTGCAATCACTTGAAATATGTTGAAGTCATGCTTTAAGGTCAAAAATGATGTCAAAATAGAAATAGGGTTACACCATGTATTAGCAGATTTCCTACTCTCAAGGGCAAAGGTATAACAGAAAAGAGAAGGGAAAGGAAGGGAAATAGTAGCAGCTATTGCAGCCATGCAGGATTATATTAGCCGATATTTGGGGTGAAATTAATATGATGCTTCACCATTATACTGGGACTTTTTTCAACAACTATTACAATTTAACTGTTTAAAGCTGTGGCATCTCTAATCTTTTTTCTAACAGTCCTTTTCCTGAATTTTAACAGTTCTAATTATGTTGCACAGGTTATAGTAAAATGAAAATCCTTTCTGTAGGTCTCAGTTTTCAGCACTTTCCCAGCATATGAGGTTTGTCTGGGGCTGCAGGCCTGGGGTTAGATAGAAAACGGCGTCCTGTCTCAGTGACTGCTGCTAGCTCTTGCTCTGAGAGCTGAGATTCGTCACCCCCAGCTGCTTTGGTGTCCTCTGGGAGCCCATGATGGGTGCTCTTATAGGGTGCTCCGTTAGGGATCTAGTGGAGATAAGCATCATTATTTCTATTCTCCTAATGCAAGATGTAATAATTTGCTTCTAAAATGCAGTTTGTCCTCAGATTTCTGTTGCTTTCAATCAGTGTTGATGTTTCCTTAGACAAGATTTGGCCCCGCATTGACTAGTCAAGTATTTTTGGAAATTGTAAGTTCACAACTTTTGATTACACATCTTTATCCTTCAGAAAAAGAAAATCTAGTAAGGTACAGGGAAAAAAATCTCATTAATAAGCAATTTTTTTTTCATAGCAGTGACAAGCTTAAGAAAGGATGTGCACAATTCACTGTTTTATAAAAGGAAAAAATAAGTGATATTTAATTAATACGAAAGAACAAAAGTATATGAAAATTTCAGAGGGAAGATGATTTGTTTTGGGAGTAATTTAAATTTAATTCAGTAATTACAAGAGAATGATCATGCTGTCCTGAAACTTCCTATGCTGTGTTTCAACCTAGAGCAAAAGTTTATAGCTGAAGTATGATCCCTGATATTTTCCTATGTTTTAATTTTGAATGTGTCCAGTGTTGTTTCAAACAATGCTAAGAGAAGTTTCCTGTGTTAAAACTTTGACTGTCTTCAATATTTGTTACATCAGTTTTTGTCCAGCTTTCCTATCAGCAGATCAGACATGGTCTATTTTATTTCAACTCAAGTGGCTCACATATTCCTGTGAAGACAGCATACAAAATCATAAAGATCAAAAGTACACACTTGTTGTGCCTCAGTTAAGACTTCTTTATTTCCTGCCTACTAGGCTTTTTATATAAAATAGTACAGCATTTAAACACCATAAATGTTATATAAAGATTATACTATACCATACCGTTCTTTTGGTGCTAGAGATCTTCTATTATTACTAAAATCAGAATAGACTATTGACACAGGAAAGGCATTTCTGTAATTAACAAAGAAAGGTTGAGCATGCTAGAGTGAAAACATGACTTTGTGACTTCAGGTGTGCATTTGCATTTAACTATATGCTTCTGTTACAAGTATTTTTGCTGTCTGAGGCTACTTTATTTTTCACTGCTTCTGTGTGTTGGCAATCTGAAATGATATAAAAAATTTTCTAAAGATCTTTTAAAAATCTCTGAGTAGCACCAAGGTATAGAAATAAACTCATAACAGTTTAAGTGAAAAATGAAAAAAAAAAAAAAGTATCCAACCCAAAAACAACTGAAGAAAACACTTTCCTGTAATGGTGCATGAAGATAGGAGCTCAATAAATCACGAGAAAACAATTTCTGGTCCTATCCAATACTATTTAGGTCAATGGAATAACTCAGTCAGTAGTTCTGCTCTTAAATGGCCTGGGAGAAATGTTTCTATGACTAGACCATTCTCATCTAGATTATAAGGGGAGTTAAAAAAAAAATACTTTGGTCAAAGAGCACTAAAAATCTAATTTTTCAAAAGCCACAAAATGTTTCAAGACTGTTACTGACAGACAGAAATACTCCATTTCAGTTTATTTTCACAGGTGATTCGGAAGGTCTATGGCTCATATTAAACTATATCCTTCCGTTATGCATTTATTACAACCAATAAGTTAGGTGTGTTTATAACCTGATAGACACCTGTGAAAAAACAGAAATTAGTTTCTGTTGGTTTAGCTGTAATTTTTATGAGATGTCAAATTGTATTTGGAAAGTATCAACTGAATCAATCCCTGTTGGTAGTAATTGCAGCAGCAGATTATTCCTTGCCTGTTTGATCTTTGACATGCATTAGTTTCTGTTTAATTTTCTAATTTAAGGAAAGACTGTAATCTGCCCTTTACCATACTTACAGAAGTCAGGTTTCTTAAGGCATCTCTTTTTCCCTTGTTAAGTCTTTCTACCTCATCAAACTCTGGGAGCAGAAAAAGGTGAGCCACTACTATTAACCAGGAGTAACATGGATGAAAACAAGCGAGGAATGAGAAAAATTTTGGCAACACCTTATGCAGGCTGGAAAAAGAGAAGTTAAATTGATAAAGATATAGGCCAAAATAAGTTTTTGTCAGAAAACCCCAATTAAGTAAAACTGAATGTTGCTGTCAAAGCATATTGTATTTGTCAAAAAATATTTTGCATTTATGTACAGTGTGTGCTGATCTAAGTTTCTGTCTATGACTTTCTTTCATTTTGACTTCTGCTCAGTTTTCTCTGATGAAAAACTTTGAAAAAGGGAGAGATTGTGGAGGCTTCATGCTTTCATGAAAAGGCATTCTCTTCCTGGCAGGAAGGCACTCACAGCTCATCGGGACTCCCTGAGCACAGGTGAGCTGTTGTGGCCCAATCCTGAAGCCCATACATCCATCAGCTCCTTACTTAGGAAAATGGCCAATTTCAGAAAGAATCTTCTATGCTTTTCTTTCTTTTCCAAATATGAGCATAGGGTCAATAAGGAAATTAAACAAGCAGATTAAAGAACTAAATAAAATAAAGTAAAATACATAAAAATGTACATATTTATTTTAAGTAGCAGTACAACCGGGATTACCAGATCAATAGTGAAAGCTATTCTTGAAACTCTAGAGGTTATATGTGTCTTTTTAAGCAAAAACTATTTGCAACAAAACACTATTAGATGGCAGTTAAAAGAATCAAAATCTTTAGGACAATGTGATAAATAAGTGACAGCATGAGACAATAGATAAAATATTCAGTTATTAGTTCCCAGGCCCTAACAATTGATGTTGGTCCTCTATTTCTTTGCAAATTTCATTTTTCCATTTTCTTGGACCTACCTTTTCTACACTCTGTGCTGTAGTGTTTTTTAAATAAAG